CTCACTCACACTCACACTCACTCACTCTCTCACTCTCACTCACTCACACTCACCCTCACTCTCACTCACACTCGCTCTCACTGAGAGTCACACTCCCTCTCACTCACACTCACAGTCACACTCACTCAGTCACTCACTCACCACCACCGCCACCATCACCACGATCTCCACCTTCATCACCACCATTACCTCTCTGGAGCCCAATGCGTCTAGATCTCTAGACTTTCTGCTGCTACACCTCTAGACCTCACACACACACACACTGTTTGGGGTCTCTTGCTGGGATAATGTACATATTTGTTGTTTTTTGTTTGACGCTGGCTAGGTGGAAGACGTTCAAACATGCGGAACAAAGGCGCGTTTGGGGTGAACAAAGCCGCTGGCGCTCTCTTAGGTGTTTGATGTGTTTGTAACAAGCAATGGTCATGGGTTTTATGAATGTGGGCTCTCAGAACTGGCGAGCCCAATGTGAGAATATCTTTGTGAGCCATCATTCCTGGACATTGGGTTCACTTCAGCTCACTGGGCCAACTCAACCACCCCAGGAAGTGTCTGTCATACACGAAGTGTCTGGGCATAGTATAAAAATTGGTGCATCACCTGGCAAAAGGCAGCGAGTCTGCTTCACAAACACCACCCTTGCTGCATCTTGCACAGAAACAGTGATCAATTGTACATACATCTTCTGACTAGCGTACATATATATGGCATGGGTGTGTATTAAAATAGGGAGACCTGCCAAAGACCCTCTGGAAGAAGGGAAATAGACCAATTAAAACCCATTTGGTTGAGGGCTCCGCGATGTCTTCAACGCTTCGACGGAAGCTGCAATTGAATCTTGGTGGAGCTGGAGGAAGGACTGGAACTTGCCGAAGTGGAACGACTTCCAGAGGTGCTTGAGGTGCATTTGGAAATCTTGCTGTCCTGAGTTCGATGCCACTTCTCGATTCCGGTACTTTTTGGTGTGTGACATTTGGGAAGAGAGCAACAATTATAGAGAACATGGATTCCAACATATTCCAACAACACTTGGGGTTCAATTGAAGCATATGGTCCAAAGAACAGCCACCGCCCTGAAGTTCCAACCTGCACGAGCCCGGCTCGTTTGGGGCGATGCTCCGTCGAGTTCGTTCCGCGGCGACGGGAGAACCGCGGCCAAGCCTCGCTGCGCTGCGGACGTGGGCCCTCGCGGGAGGTCTTGGTGCCCCCCAAGGCCTCACGCACTCGCTGCGCCCACGTCGGCCGGTGCGCCACCGCGTCGGCCGGCTCGGCCGCCGCAGGGGGCATGGCGTAGGGGTGCTGCTGGAGCTTGGCGAAGAGCGGCTCCCAGCCGTTGGGGCAGCGATACCTCAGATTTCAAGGAGAAATCTAAGAATTTCATGAAGAAAATACGTCCTATGCCCTATGCCCTAATGTGTCTCACTCAGCTTTTCCGAGAGGTTCTGAAGATGTTTCTGGGAGGTTCTCGGCTTCGTCTGGTTCACTCTCAGTAGGTTTCACAGTAGGAGGTGTTTCTAGCCATTGAAGCGACATCAAATGGCAGACCCAACCTACGCCCGGTTGTGTAGTTTCAGGTAGACCCAAACCTCTACCTGCTTGAGTGCCGATCTTCAAAGACTTTAGGCCACGCCGATCTTCGCGGACATGCTTTAGTGAATGCGGTTGTGCCATACCTGTTGGTTTCGAGTACAAGATCAGTGAAACAATATGTTTCTCTTTTGGGCACTTGGAAGATGCCAGGTGGAACACGTAAAGATTCCTATAGGATCCTATGAGGCCTTTTGTCTTTGGATTGTCCTACACAGTCTCTCCCACAAGATTGCAGAGATATTCAGAGCAATATCACCTCAGACCAAAGGCTTCCAAGACCGCAGAAATCGTATGGTTAGAAGTACACTCCATGTATGCTATATATGCCTACATTGACCCCGGAAACCACCCCAGTGTCGGCATTTATGCCATACATGGAGTGTTTGGGATTGAGGTTCTACAAGTAGTTCATGACTTTAGCTCTAATGCCCATGTTTTTTTATATTCGATACTGCCTGGACTGTCGCTGAAAAAGGGGATGTTGGTGGACTGTCGCATGGATGTCCCTGGGAAGACATTCGACGAGCAAAGAAGGCTTTGTGCGCGCGGTAGACCATGATAGACCACTGCCATCCAGAGAGTGGTGAAACGAAACCCAAACAAGAAATATGATCATGTCAAAAACACATTTGATGGTCCTTGATTCGTGGCTGCAGCAACACATGAATACCATGTCTTCTGAAAAAAAGAAACGGCCACGGGGGTGTTCAATCCACAAGTCCTCTCGCCGGGACTGGGTAGACTAGACTGGACGATGTTCCGGTTCACAGCGGGGTACTGGACCTGCCCAGGTGTCCGGTCGTGGATCTGGTCGAAGTCTGACTTCCCTTCCCCCACACAGATCCGGACGTCCGATGAAAGAAACGTCCGGAAATGGGGTGAATGTAGCTAAAACTGTAGGTACATGGCTATATATATATATATTATATTATATACTGTATTCCCTATAGGGATCCAAGTAATTACCTTCTCAGAACGTGAGGTGTTCGACTGTTATAGGTTTGCAGGGTCCAGGTACCTTCAGAGAAGGTACCACTGGATCTCATCCCCAAAAGGGATCCCTTTCGGGATGAAATATGCCGGTTCCGATGGTGTGGGGTTGGTTGCCTTCTCAGTTTTCACCGATGGGCATCTCGAAGATCTTGAGGATCTCCGTGCGTGTCGTCCTCGGTTCCGAACCGCGCGGAGCCGGTTCGCGGAGGAGCCGCCAACAGAGTCGATCCTCATAAGGCTGTGGGGAGATGGCACCACCCAAAAGCAACAGAACAGACTAGCTGAGAGGTCCACCGCCCCTGGTGAAAGGAGTTCCAGGGGCCATGACCCACAGCCATGTAGGTCAGAACCAGGATACCTCAGTTGATCGAAGTGGGAGGTCAAGCAAGGTATCCAGGGCTCCAGGTTTTGACCCACGCCCATATATGGACTCATCATATGACATTTCCAGCTCCAAGCAGGATGTAAAGGAACACATGCTCGCAGGAAAATCACCGATGCACACCTTTAGCTACTGATTCCAAACCTCCCATCGCTAAACCTCAAAGCCCATTTCGTTCGGGGGGATTTGTGTCTTCAACGGTCAGGTGTCGTTTCAATTGTTTGGCACTGCAAACCCGTTTTGGAGGGTGTATCACCCAAACAGAACTGATCTGATCTACTGTATATAAGATATATTATATATATATTATATATGATGATGATTGGTACTATATACACACGACGTGTTCACACTGACATGGTGAGTGATTAGTGATTAGTGCTTTCGCATGAATATCATATGGTGAGCAAAAACATCAAACAAGCCTCTCAGAACAAACTCCAAAGCCCAAATCGCCGAGTAAAGGAAACCAACACACATCTGACATCTGACTATCACCGCCCTTCCCACCAAGCATCCCTTGCGCATACGCAATGGCCTCAAGCCCCTGCAAGTCGGGTGGCGGCCACATGTGGCCGGTTGCAGTCGAGTCGATGGATGTGGATGTTGGGTCACGAAAGCAAATCCAAAGCAACTGGTGTTTGGAAGGACAGTGTCCATCAGTCTCTTTGCTTCCATTCTTCTGACCAAAACGAGAACATGGTCTTCAACCCCAAAATGGGCGACAGCCCCACTGAAGAGCAAACAAGCGGCAAGTGCGGTCACCAAAACGATGGATTGGTATGCTGATGTCCTCGTTTTGTCCATTTTGGTCTCAAACCGATCCAAAAAGTGAGGTTGGAACATCTGTCTGCTTGGAGAACAGAAACTACGCTTTTCTTTCATCAGGATGAGCACAGTTTTTGCTGTGCTTTCAGTGGTTCTGACTTTGGTGTGGATGAATTGCTAGGAGAGGATGAGAGACCTGAACTGGGACCTTGTAGTGGTTCATCTGGGATGGGCTATAGGGCTGCTCAACCTCTCTTGGAGTCTTGCTGCTGGCCACTGAACCGGCAAAACACACGGAGAACAAGTGAAAATGGCCAGTTGGTTGGGTCTTGTGCTCGAGAACTCAAGTTATATAGTTCGCCATCCAACTTGGTAGAGCCTTTGGACAAGACTCCATGTGTGCTTCACTTACATAAACTCAAAGAATAAAGAAACTTAAGAGGTTCAGTTTGCCCATTCTTGTGCGCCTCTGCCCAAACGTCCTCCATGTTCCATCCGTTTGGAGCGAAGTTTCATAACCCTCCCTGCCCGCAGCCTGGACCCAACTTCAAGTACCTTAGACAATGGGATATGACCCCATAAAGACAGGTACCAGTTTGTACCAATTTTCCCGAGGTACGACGAGGTACGACTGAGAGTTTTAGGTACAATATATTATATGGTACTATAGTAACAGGGGCATCGGTATACTGTTACTAGGGCCTCTAGGGATTAAGAAAGCTCTCGGATCATTTGGATGGAGTCCTTCTCCATGAACGAGCGTCAGAACACCGTCCCGGGGACGACCCCTGAAACCCATTCGGAAGAGTCCCGCGGCAGTACGCGGCCGCTGCTACGCCTCCGAACCAAAATACACGGCCCAAGGGTCAGTGATCGCAGCGAACAATCAGTGGTCATCATATTACCCTCCGTTCCTCCTCTTCGAACCGGGCTTCACTTCTTCGAAAGGTGCGTGGATTTGAACCAAGCCGTCCCATGGTTTGAGGCCTCCAAACGTCCAAATGCCGCAGGTCGGTGTGTTTTTTCTCCCAAAACCCAAACCACCGGCGCTACACCGGCCCTCCTTCTCCATCTGACCACCATCCGCCGCTTCGGTGGTCGAAACCGGCCTTGGAGTCTTTCAGGTGGCTCTTGGCGCCGAAGCGCAATAACATCTCCACCATCGCCACCTTCTCCATCTTCACGGCCTGAGGGGGGGGGTTGAGGGCGAAAAAAAGCCAAGCTCAACAACTAGAGATGAGCCTGAATGAAACATCCAAACATACCAGGACCCCATCCAAGCAGTATTAAACAAAAATAGCCTGTTCTATCCTCTTATGGGATTGGAACCTTTTGGCCGTTTTACTCTTGAAATCGTTTTCGTTCATCTTCACTCGCCCCGCCTCATGCAGGGGATAGGAATAGTCTGCCTGCGTCGATGTTCCAGCCGGGTGGACGGGTGGTGTTACAAACTCCTCTGGACCAGTGTGGTGCTGAAGGGACATGTGTGCCCAAAGGAACATCATGTTTAAAGTATTGCATTCTCTTGCACGGCTGTTGGAAAAACAGAACGTGAATCATGTGAATGCACTTGATCTCTCTTTTACTATATATATATATGTTACATGTTATATACATCTCTGAGGAATCTCCAAGGCGTGTTAGAAGATTGCTATCTGAATGTACCAGAAGCATCCAAGGGAGCCATGAACTACCACATCAACATCACCGCTCTATATAGCACCTTGATCCTATTCAAGCTGGATTGTTTCCGGTCTCTTGCCGGGATATAGTGGATTGAGAGTATATAGATTATTATAGACATAGATGATACAATCCCCAAGGTCGGTGGTATAGTGGACACCCATCTGAAGGATATGTATTGGTTTGTGCCATCTTGCCTGAAACCGCTGGTAGTTCAGTCAAAGTTTGGAGTCAGCTGCTTGGGCACTCCAAAAAGGCCTTGCGAGACGTCGACCACTCAGTTCTGCAACCGTTTTTCAGCCGGCAGGCGGGCAGGCTCTGAACGACCAATTGTTCCGAAGAATTGTTTTTCCAGCACCAAAATGATCACCATCACGGCAAAATGGGATCTATGATCATGTATGCTTTTTGACTGCAGGACCACCATTCACCATGCCACCCAGCATCCCGGCCGTCAACGGCGCGCCTCGGAGGAGTGCCTCCGGGCGTTCACCTCTCGGTGGAAACCTCGGAGGGTGTCACCGAGAGGGCCGAGGGTGGAAGGTGTCACCCGAAGGTGTCATCCCAGGCCAAGCACTTTATAATAAGGAACATGGGTCTTGTTCAGTCTATGGGTCACCACTGGTTACCAGGTATAGTGGTAGCTGGATGCCCTGGATCAGGTACCATGTTTTTCCCTATGAATTGATTCATGTCTAGGGGTGATCCGCTCTATGAATCAACCAAGAGATACCAAGGCCATCCAAGGCCCATGTTTTTCATGAACACATGAGATTCAGTCGTGAGAACGACTTGATTCAACCTCTCTTGGTGCAAGACCTGCTTGCAAGAAGCTACTAAGGGCATCGCTACTACCAGTAGGAGCAAGGACGCTATTAGGGGCTCCTGGCCAATACTACTAGGAACAAGAAGCTACTAGGGGCTCCTGGCATCGCTACTGGGAGCATTCCTACCACTAGTAACAAGAAGCACTAGGGCTCGTGGCCTTACTACTAGGAGCAAGGACGCTACTAGGAGCAAGCACGCTACTAGGTGCTCCTGGCATCGCTACTAAGGAGCATTCTCACTACTAGCAACAAGAAGCTACTAGGGGCTCCTGGCCTTACTACTAATAGACTAGGAGCACGGTCGCTACTAGGGGCAAAACCTGCTTGTGCAACCAGCGGTTGGATGAGGCGGCTGGAGAATGCCTCGTCGTGTCCACCATTCGTGGGTCATGGCCAGTGATTGTAGATCCATGGTGATTGAAGGATTCAGGCCTTTCAAAGGCCAAAAGCCGGGTTTGGAGCCCTTCTTTTCCATATTGGGGTCTTGCACCTCCCCCAACTGTCCCATGAAGAGATGAGTCTTGGGATGTCTTGGGTAGACCATGGGGAGACCATGGTAGACCTTTCGGGCAGGTCATCAGCAACCGCTCCCACTGGACTCATCCGCGAACCAAACACTCCATGGAACTGGCAAAGGACTGCCCAGAAAAGGACAGGGGTGATTGATTTGGGGGGGTCTAATATGTATTTTCTTTGGATGCACACACCTTCTTTGGAAGGTGATTGGAGACACCTTTACATAGGAATGGACCTGGAAGGCCAAGGAAATTCCAGGAATCTATGTGGATCCCTATTGGTTCCTAGTATTTCATCCATGGAGTGTCTTGAACTGGTCCTATGTCTCGTCCAAAGCTTCAGGACTCGACCCTCCACTCAAAGGGGTTCCCCCGCTTCAAGCGGGGTCGTACTTGGATCAGGGAGCCGTTTTCCTTCAGAAACTTCACCTCAGTCGTTCGATCTTTACGCCCTCGCTGGCCGAACGGCCAGCGTCACGTCGGACAGCTCGCCAGGGACACTGCTGTGGGACACTGCCCTTTGTGGCCCCCAGAAAGGGTGACCGCCCTCGGTGATTTCAGGTACTTCTACATCTTCGAATGGGTTCCTTTGAAGCGGTACATCTTTGACATCTAAAACGGTGCCATGTTCCATATGTGGGTGAACGAAGAGGTCTTTGTACGTGACTACAGGTTCCCTCAGTTCGCCGCCACGATCTGCAGCTCTGTCTGGGGCTCTGAACTTCTAGCTACGTTCGTGCTTCTTGTTACTAGTAATGGCCTCCAACCTAGCGATGGCCTCCAACCTACTAGCTCCCTGCGCTACCTGCGCTAGCTTCTAGCAGCCTCACCCTTCTAGCACCCTCAGTAGATCCTGCAGATCACCATCTTTGGCTCAAGAGGAACCAGTGGTCACATGTGGATCCGTTGGGCTAACACTCTAACAGCTGGAACAACAGTTCTAACCAGCTAGGGATACACACATCTTCTCTCCCCTTGTGGGTTCCCCAAGTTTGGGGGAGACCAGGTGGGTGTTGGTGTTGGATCATGTTGAGGAAATTTGCCGCTGAGGCTTGTACAAAAGAAATCAAATTACAACATCCCAAACATGCCATGTATGGAATTATACATATGTCCATACATTGACCCCTGGGATCAAACATCCCTGGCCTAATCAGCCATCATATGCTTTTTCCTCGGAGTGTCGGTGCAAAAAAACTATACCTCAGCCTCAACGCTCTTTCTTCATAGTCTAAAGCAAAGCCATAAGCAGTGGACGGTCCGGTGGAGATCTCTGTTGTGTGGGCTATAGTCTGTAACAGTCTGTATCTCGTCTCTCTAGGGTTCCAAGATCCGGACATCGTGGTCAGCCAGGAGTTCTGTGTGGGTCCAACTTGGAAACCTCAAATATAGTTGAGAAGGCTACACTTTCTGAAATCATTGAGGGGGATGGCATCATGGCTCCATATGCGACCATGAAATCCGAATATCTCCACGGCCTGGAAACCACCCTGCAATTGATCTGGCCACCTCACTCAACCAAGTGGCAATCTTCATCTTGTTCAGAGCCTCTGCGCCGGTGAACGTATATCGATGACAAACATCATTTCTGATGAAGTCGTGTGGTGAAACTCCACCATTCTCCAGGCAATCCATCAACAGGCATATATAAACCTATATGTATACATAGTATACCTTAGAACATGGGACATGACGCCATTAAAACAAAAACACAGGTGCGACTGTACCCATTTTCCGAGGTATTTTGAGACTCCAGGTATCTGAAAACCTACATCAGGCTAAGTCCGGCTGCGCTTCAGCGCAGCGCTGCGGGAAACTCCCGATGGTCCGATGGTCGCTCCGAGGTGACACCTGGGGGACAGTCATGGGTTGGGTCTATCCTATTACCAACAGTGGATGATGGTCAGTAAAGGCTAGTAAAGGCCTTTCTCTGAAATAGTGATAATATGAGGTAATTGTTATAAGTTACTGACTCTTACAGGTAATTAATAGAACAACCAAACCCAAGCAACAGGCCATCGGCGGGATCCCCCCGGCTTCTTGCAGCGAGGCCGGCCACAAGGCCCATCCCCGTCGCGCCCAGAACGGTGGTGTTTGCTTCGAAAAACCACCCCCCGGCCACTTCTTGTCGTGATGGAGCCGCTGTTCTTTTGGACCTCTCTATGTACTTTCTCTGTGGTGGGTCTATGTACTTCCGACGTTCAAAGGACCAAAGGTCGTGAAGAGAAAGCTCAACGAAGGCGCCAGCGGGCGAGGAAAGTGCCAAAACCGTAGTCGTGGAGTGCACAAGCTGTTTCTAGATTTTTTTCTAGAGGACAATCTCTTCCTTTTGGGACCATGCCATCATATGCCATCCAGAAATCTAGCATGATCATGGAAAGTGACCGATCATGCATGGATCTGGGAAAACCATCTAGCATGATCATGGATCTTGTGACAAACACCCTGACGACTTTCCGATTGTTCCCTGTTTTTTTTTTTTTTCCGGCTTTCCATGTGTGCTTTTTCCACTTCCATGTGATCTATTCAGAGTCTCAAACTGGGCCTCTGATCCAACGCCGCCCGGTTTTGTTTCGTTCGGTGGGGTACAACGAGTTGCTTCGGTTTTTCGTGAAGTCCACCAACTGGAGAGGATCTTCCACGAAACTCAGAGTCTATATTCGCTATATTGCATTGTGTCAGTATACATATATATATATATGTATATACGTACCTGGAACCCCAAACAACCAGAAACACATGGTTGTTCCAATATGGCAATTGAAATCCTTTACTTGGAAATGGTTGTTTCGGGAAACATCCTTTTCTTTCTGGTTGTTTGGGGTTCCAGGTATAGGAGTATTTGATTGGTCTCTGAAATGAGCTCCTTGATATTTCAAACGCTTTTTCGAGTGGCAGCGGGGCGGTCCTAGATGTTTTTCCCTGCCAGGCAGCCAAGAGTTGACGATGACGTTCCATCTTTTGCTCCTCCCTGCTGGAGCTGTTACTCGTAGTCTCCTCCTTGCCCTTGGTTCACCCACGAAAAACCAAGAGGACGCTGTTTTGGACAGCTCCGCGAAAGGCCAACGAGCCACTAAAGATGATGAGACTCTATTTTAAAGAAATGCTATAAAGCTCCAGTGCTTCGGCGATGCCAACAAAAGAACGAACAAAACCAACACGTGGAGATCTGACGGAAAGGGCGACGTGTTGTGAGCGATGTCTCACCGAAATCGCCCATATTGACCGCCCCATTCATCGAGACAGTCATGAGATGAAATGAGTATAGGGACACCCCTACCCCGAAGCGGCGGGACCGACAGAATGACCGATTCCGATGATTCCAAACCTGCCCAGCAGCTTCATGCGTCGGATAGGAGAGACGAAGTGGGGCCGCGATGAGAGGAGAGAGCAAGCTTTCAGCGACTTCAACATGTGTCCCTATAGGGATCCAGTCATACCTGCTCAGGTACAGTACTTGGATCCCTAGGCGAAGCGGTCGGTGCACCAAAACACGGCAGCTGCTGTGGATTCCAACAGCACTTGCACAAAGTACCTGGACAAGAAGAACACTGGACAAGACATGACCCCAATTGACCCCCCGGAAATACAAAATAACTGAAACCCTACACCTCCAGGTGCCTCCTCAGAAGGTATGACTGGACTTTCCTGGCACCCACCACTGCACCCACCCCAGTCCCACCTTCTCAGAAGGTATCTGGAGGTGTAGGGATACTCATCTTCTGAGAAACCGAACAAACCAAGCACGACTCCATTCCGGTCCATTCCACAAACCGGTGTGACGATCCAACCCCCGACGTGCGTGACTGAACAAACCGGAGCATTGATTGAACAAAGCTGGCAGTATCCCTATCCCACCCTGATGGCAACCGGGATAGGTATCCCCCGGGTCTTTTTCAACCAACCATCCATCCGGTGCCACCTTTCCTTGCGTGATCTCCTCGAATCAAAAGAGTCTCCCCCAAAAAAGGGATGTTTCATCTGCAAGTCCCGGGTGGGGGAGAGTCACTTTCAAGACCGTTCCGTGAAACTATCAGCAGCGGCTTCGAGTTCGGCGGACGTCTTGAGGCGTCTTGTTCGGCGTTTTTGGATCGGGTATGATTGGGTGATTCAATCCTTTGAGAGGAAGGGTTTTCCACCTGGTCTTGTGGATGGGCCACGCGTGGTGATCCGTGGTGATCCGATGATGATTTCGGAGGTTCAAACCCAGTCCATGCCACTTCCTATGTAAAAGGATCTCAGTCGCTGCCACCAGATTGGATCCATTTGTTTCTGGGTTGTTTGAGGTTCCTGGTTCAAGCATTCACTTTTCAGGGGTAAGGTTGGGGGCCTCCTGGGAAGTCTATGGAACTTGAGGCCAAGGTGACCTACGTGCAAAGAGCCCTGTAAAAGGAACATCACCAGCTCAGTCGAGCAACTTCTTCATAATAATAGACCACACCCATCTTGCGTCTATCCACGGACGTCAAAGACAGGAATTCGAGGAGCACGTCGCGAGTGAGGCGCCAGAAAAATCCGGCTTGGCCAAATTAAATATATGGCTGCAAAACACCATCAACATGAACCATGAACACACACACACACACCAAAATGAGCTGTGGATAGAAGAATCACTGAAAACTGTATAAGAACCCCTTTTCCTCACCCCTTGGAGGTGCACAACGGTGCACAAGACATGCATGCAGTACGCAAGACTTGGTGAACCTAGTGGTGAACCTACCGTCGCACCTTGCTCCCCCTCCTTTCACTTTCAACCCTCTGAATGCTCCGAAGGTTGGTCGAACGATGAACCAGGTCCGTCCAAAGCTCCTGCAACCCTCTGTCTCAAAAAAAAAGTGGAAGACTACTGAGGCCATGTAAAATACGGTGGCCTTGCAGGGCCTTGCCTTGCAATGTCTTCATACAGCTTTTCCAGAATGCCAAATCAACTGACCGGATTCACCATGTCCCTGAGGGCATCTGGATGGAAGGAGCCCACAAGGGTTGTCCGTCTTCCCCAGGTTCCAGTAGGTTCCAGGCCTGGGGGAACCGGGTGTGGCTTTATACACTCCCTGGCTCCCTGGATTAATCATGGAAGTGGAAAATCACCGGCGTGTAAAAGTTGTCCTCCTTTTGGGGCCTGGCGCCATCCAGCATGAGAATTCCAGTTCCGGCTCCATCCAGAGTAAGCACATCAGCACGATCAAAAGCTTTTGCTTTGGGGTAGAGCCTCATGACGAGTGAATGGGACTTGGGAGCTTTCTTTTGACCAAACGGAGTTCACGTCTGACGTCACCCCAAGCCGCTGAGTCGAGACCTGAACGAAGACCGGTAGAGCCGAGTCGTGGCCCAGCTGGATCTCGGAGTCCAGTGACTCCGATTCTTCCTACCTCAGGGTCCCTGGGCACTTGAATGGCACGCACGCTTGCTTTTCAGACAAGCCTGTTCATGTAGATGTTTGAATTACAAGCCTTCAAACGTGGGCTTGTTGGCCAAGTTGGTTGGTTTTTGCTTGACAAAAAACACATAAGACAAGCCCTCAGTCAGCACCCACCGTGCCAAGTTGGTTCAGTTTGATGGACTCGATATCTGGGTGTGTGTTCAAACAAGGGTTCCACCACCGACACCTTTTTTAGGCGTGCCGAAGCCGTTTTGTTGCGTTCCACCGCCTTTTTGCCAGAAAAACAAACAAACAAAACAACAATCCATGGGACTTGCATCTTGGAAGACAAGTTGGGGTGGTTGGTTTCTGGATGTGTCAGGGGTCAATGTGTTTTTGTTCGAAGTTAGTTTAGTTTCCCTCGGTGGTGTCTGGTTTTTCCCACACACACACACCCTAAACAATCCCCCTCCCTCTTCGTCCTTGCCAACTCCAAGCAAAACAGGTACCGATCCTCTGAACCCGTGGGTCGGGTGCCCCGGACAGCTGCATGGGGCAGCACCGGCATCCAATAGGTCGCCGAATCCCTGCTGTTTCGAAGGACATCGAGGGAAAACCGAAGACATGGAAACCGGTCGGCAGGTTGGGATTGGGGGTGAAAACCCGAAAAAACCAAAGGGGAGACATGGGGAGGACCCTCATGCCAGGTGGAACTTGGAGGACTGATGGGATGATGGATGGCTCCGTTGGCGGAGCCGACACCTACGGCTGGAAGCTGGTCCCAGAGATCGGCATCCTCGTGAAACTTCTTCGGACTGCATCGCATGCATCGCAGCGTCGGTCCTCATATAGTAGAGGTCAATACCTGACCTTCTAAGACCCGGTACGATGGGGTACGGATAGTGTACCGGGTTCAACCTCTGGATGTTCATCCTCAATTATCTTCAATTTCTTGATTCCTTTTCCAGCACCCTTGACTCGATAGCCCTCCGAGTGGCCGCTTCATTTCGTCGAGACTTCCTTTCGTCACGTTCACGCACCGGCTTCGTTTGGAGGGTCCTAAGGTCCTAGCAAGCAATGTAGACATATATGTAGCCTCTTGAGGAATATCAAATTATATGTATATACATTTGGATTGTACAACCCATATTTTTGAACATGAGCTGTGCAAAATACGATAAAATACGTATATGATTAAACCCTATGTCGTAAAACTTTATTGCGCTCCAACTGCACGACCACAATGTGAGCTTATGCGCCACGGATGTTGGAGGGGACCTTACGCAGATCTTACGCATCTGCATTTTCACACATGAGAACCATACTCCCAAGAGACATGCTTATGCAAAGGCTCCTTAAGCACGTGAAAATACAACCATATAGGCAAGCTTACGCAACATGCATGTCCCACAACTCCCTTGCGCAACCTTACGCTTTTCGGGTTTTTGCTTTATTTTGCCCACGTTCGACAAGGCCTTTACTTCATCTTGGGAGTTTCTTGCGGCTCGGGCTTCTGGGCTTGAAGGGATCCAACCACACGGATTTTACGTCGCCGTCGGCTCGCTCCACTCCCCGCCGTCGGCTCCAAAGCGAGCCATCCGGCAGCAGCTGTAGCGCCACACGCTGCGCACTGGGCGCCTGGGAGGCTCCGCGGCTGGTGGGCAGTGGGTGGTTTAAGAGATGTTTTCTGGGAAACATCGGCAAAACAACCGTGTTCACCCCCAAAACTATAGAGGGTGGATGTTCCCTTGAAACCATTCCAGTTCAACAGGAGGTTCTAGAATTCAGGAGGACCAAAGCCTAAAGCATCCTAAAGCGCTGCTATTTGGAGGTTCAAAGGAATCATGGAGGATACCTTTTCTTTTCAACTACCAGTCACTAGTCTTGGATGCTGGAGGGTGCATGGGTGGTGATTGAAAAAGACAGTGGTCGAAGCAGGTGCTGAACCACGGAAATGTTTCTCTGGTGGTGGTCTGCGCTCTTCAGGATGATTGTGGTCATGGAAGATGGAGACCATATATTTTAGCCAAGATCCACGTTCCACATTCTTCCAGACTGCCATTCCAGAACGACCCTGTGCTCAAACCTGTGCTCAAAAAGGACGGTTCCCCCCAAAAAAACTCCAACACTCCATGGGACTGCCGTCCGATCAATTGGAGTGGCTTGGTCAAGAACAATTCCAGTCCTACATGTGGAAGGTCACTGAAATTGAAAGCTCATCGCGTTCGCTTCCTCGTTTGCGCTAGTTTAAGTCCCCACAGGCTGTTCAAGATCTGTGAAGATTTCACCAGTTCAAGATGTTCATGAACTCCACTGATGTGGCTGCGACGGGCTGAGACTCATTGAGACTCTCGGCTGCGATTGTTCAGTCCCTCTTGTTCCCCAATCTCCAGTCAGTCCTTCGGTGGGACCCGCCGGAGGTTCGCATCACATCAGTCCCTGCCGTGCAGAGGACACCTGCAGGTCGATGGAGGGCTCTGCTGACAAGACCCAAGCCGTGAAGCACTTCGCCTCCTGCAGGGATCGATCTCTGCAACGGGATCCACGCGCTCATTTTGATGGAAAAACAGACCAAACATCTGCCTTGATTGCATTTGTTTGCAGCAATAGTTTTTAAACAAATAGTTGGCGATGACATGACTTACTAAGCTTTATATAAACTATGAAACAAAAAACTTACTATATAAAATGACCGGGCAGGCAGGATCCCACAATATGTGGTTTGATTGAATGGCACATATGTTTTAAGAACATGAAAAAACAAAACCAAAGGACCAAGGGATGAAAACAATGGATTTATATAAATTGGTTTGTTCAAAACGCACATGTTGTTCATATGTAAAATGAATTGTTCAGGATTGGCACACACTTTTGCATCGCTCAGATTCAGACGCTCAGGTTCAGAGTCGAATCCGACCCTATTGCACGGCAGATTCAGAGTCGAATCTTTCCCTGCAACCCGGCAGAATGCACATTTTCGTTGTGTTTGTGGTGAGCGTGTCTAGCATAAGTTGTTGCATCATGTAAGCTACCGAATTGTTTTTTACAAACGAACCTATCACTGCATTCTTCAATCCAGTTGAACCTATCAGTGCATTCCTCAATCCATGTGATTATCTATAAATTGACATGAGCTGTCCAAGATCAGCCTAGAATTCTGCTCAATAGTCTTTTGTCCGCCAAATGTTTTTTACAATTTGATGCGGTCAGTGTTGAACGGCTAGTTCTGATGTGACTAACATTTTTCATTTGTCAATATAGATTGAACATGCCATTGCTATGTTGAATAGTCATCAAGAAATCCCCAAAATACAGCCTATAAAATGACCACCCTGTTTGGTCATTTCATAAATGCAAACCATACTCATTTCATAAGGCTAGGGTCAAGGGGGATGACCAAACGACAACAAGAAGCAGCAGCTAGCAGGCCTAGTAGGTAAGCGTCGTAAGTATATGCATTAGTAGGCGCAGCAAGCATATTCGCAGCAGCAGCAGCAGGCAGAGGAGGAGTAGCACTAGTAGTAGTGCTAGGTAGTATGTCGTGGTGGTAAAAGATGCAGACCAACAGCAGCCACGACAACAAACGCTGGTCAATCCCCATCGGACAGCGGCAAGGTCAGCCTCCCCAAGCAGGTCCCTTGAGGGGGTGTGAACATGCAGAGGAGGGAATTGAATTGACACGCAGCAGCGCCAACATTTCACGGGCCTGCCTCAACAAAAGCCGATCAGAAAAACATTTCCGCTCTAGGCTCAAGAAGCTGCATAGCTGTCAGAGAAATAGAGAACTAATCCACCCGTGGTCTTGGGCAAGCCGTGGTCTCGGGTGAGCGCCATACCCTCGACGGTGACCTCATACTTGTATGCATCTTCAGGGGCCGTGCATGTTGTTTCGATGGCCAATCTGCGCTTTGGTCAACGCGACCCACAGTGTACACAAACATCCATTCATGCGGCACCTGCAATGCAGCAAAACATCTCTGCACACTCCTCTGAGATTCTCAATGCTATCTTCATCCTGCTAAACTCGACCATACAGACGGGGTTCCAAACCCACCAGTCAGCTTCAACCCCTTGTCGAGGGAAAGCTCGAGGATTCAAGATATCACCGGTGGGCTCCCTAATATCTGAACCTGTATGGTTTACGTTGGTGAGAAGTACCCTGTTAAGATCAGAAACGGGGACCAGTTGCGAAAGCGCAAAAGACCTGTACCCATATTGGAGAAGCCGTCCAAGCACGGCTTGGGCCCGAATCGGGG